AAACTCCAGTTGGGGCAAATTCTGAAGCAAGCACTATAAATTGTAGTGTAATCAATATGGTGTATTTGCATTTCTTCTAAGGCATCCTCCGCTTTTCTAAGAGCCAGGTTGTGCCTCTGGGGTCAATTGACGAGGTGAGGAGGGGTCAGAATCCCCCTTCAATAGTTCGAAAAGAGGTTTGAGCTCTCCCGTGGGCAGGGAGAAGGATGGTCGGAGCCATTGGAGTTCTCCCAAAAACTGTTGCCATTGGTGTAGAGTCCTTAAATGAGAGGTGGCAAACTGTATTTTTTGAGGCGCTTCTCCCACCTTGTTTGTGGTGTATCCTAAATATCTGTATGGGTGAGAGAGCTGTATCTTGTCCGGGGAGATTACAAGGCCTGCTGATTCCAGGGCGACCCGGACATGATCATAGAGTTGAAGTAACAGGTCTTTGGTGGGGCAGGCGGCTAAGATGTCACCCATATAATGAATCAAAAGTGCGTTGGGGAAACAAGCCCGGACTGGCACTAAAACCGCTGCAACATATATCTGACACATAGTAGGACTATTAGTCATGCCCTGGGGAAGGACTACCCATTGGTAGCGCTGATAGGGCTCCTGAAAATTGGGGGAAGGTAGAGAGAAGGCAAATCTTTGACAATCTTTAGGAGCTAATGGAATATTAAAAAAACAATCTTTAAGATCTATCACTAACAATTGCCAGGACTTTGGTATAGCGGAGGGATGGGGGAGCCCTGACTGCAGGGCCCCCATTGGATGCATGGTGGCATTGACTGCTCTGAGATCTTGCAATAATCTCCACCCACCTGTCCTTTTCCTTATAACAAAGATTGGGGTATTCCAGGGAGATGTGGATGGGGTAATGTGCCCCTTTTCTAATTGCTCGGACACTAGGGCATGTGCGGCCTGTAATTTCTTTTTAGGTAGGGGCCACTGCTCCACCCAGACTGGATCATCTGATTTCCAGGTAATGGGGGTGGGGGGCGGCCACTCGACAGTGGCCCCAATTAAAAAGGCTTATGTTCTGACCCAGGGGTTGCGGCCCCTTCCAGTTCTTCCATGGGCATCAGAGTTATGGGGTCCCCTTGTCCCAGGGCTGGGTAATCACTAGTAATATGGGCTATAGTCCGGAAAGAAACCGGGGGTGGTAGGGGGGTCTGGAGGTGGCCAGGCGGTGTGACTAGAACTGTGCCCATGGCTGAGAATTTATCTCACCCCCAAAGATTGATGGGGAGGTCTGGGACCAGAGAGGAGCTGCTTTTCTTCTGTGTCTAGATCGGGGGCAAGAGGAGTCTGGCTCCCACATTCAGAAATCACGGGGACTTCGGCATATTCATGTTCTGCTATATCATTGCCAGCGTCCCCCTGCAGAGAGCGCCCTGTTACTTCCTCCTGGATTTCCCCGAAGGTTTTTTGGAGGTCACACAGCTGTTCCTGCACCCGGACACGGGTGGTTGACAGCGCATCTTTAACCAATCTCCAGAGGGAGAATGTAGCGACGGGAACCCTCTCCGACCCCCTATCTCTGAGGGCTCTCTGTAGATCTATCTTAACCTGTTCCCAGTCACAGATTTTGAATTCTCCCCCTGTCAGGAACCAAGGGCTGACTTCCCCTATTACTGTAATGAACTCGAGTGCGGTCCTAAACTTAATACAGTTCCCTGCTGTTTCAGTAACTCAGTCAACTCGGTGGCCAGTCGAGTTTTTGAGTCAGAATTTCCCATGGTACCATGCACTGTTTCCCCCGCTTATATGCGGTTTTTCCCCCTGCCTATACGCAGGCTCTCCCCCTGCTATGCGCAGGTGAACCCTGTCCGGTTCTCCCTCGTACCTGATCTCGGTGGGACCTCCACTTGCCGTGTCTGGCGCTGCGGGGCCGAGCCAGGGGAGGCCGTCAGGGTGAAATCAGCACTCGAGTCACACAGGGTTCTGTCATTCGGGAGATGGCATGAATGCGTGCGTTTATTCAGAGCACAGGTACAGACTTAAGTATGTTTCCACAGCCCACCCAAAAGAGTGGAAAGGGGGATGGGACGTGGGAAAGTGGATGGGACAATGAGCAGAGCCATGCACGTTGGTCAGCCACCTGGTGACCCTTTCGGCCTAATGCTACCGATCGGAGCGGCCTGCTTTGTCACAGTTTTGACATATCCATAGAGACTGTGCTGTTCCTCATGCATCATTTACAAATCATTTACGAGGGTGCATTTTCCCCAAACTGAAACCTCCTGTACTGGGAAGTTGCCCAGCTTTGAGCAGGACAAAGGGGGAATGAAAAATCAAGCATTCTTTTACTTGGTCAGTAGGCAACACATTATGTAAGGTTTATCTTGGTCTACTGTTAAATTTTTTTGAAGATTGTTACTTGATATAAAAATAGCATTTTCATTTTGTTTGTTTTGTTGTTGTTGGGCAATACCCAGAAGCGCTCAGGGCTTTCTCCTGGCTCTGCACTGGAATTACTCATGACTGAGTTTGGGGACCATATGAGACGCTGGGGATCAAACCTAGCTCAGCAGGGCATAAACCCTCTCTATTGTACTGTTGCTCAGGCCATAAATATAACATTTTCTACATGAAAAATTCCCTTTAGCTTGGAATGCAATCTTTGTCCCCTTCTCTCTGGTCTGTGTCTGTCTTGTGGTCCAAGGGGCTTTCTCCTAGGCAGATGGTGTTGGGAATTACTTTTCCATGCTTCTAACCATTCTGTGCTATCTGATTGGTGATCCCACCACACAGACATTTAGGTTGATTATTGATATGAATGCCTGCTATTGCTGTCTTACCTTTCCTTTCGTTTATGTATTTTGTTTGTTTATAGACATGATTATTTTTTGGTGAACTTTCTTCTTTTTCTATTAACCAACATTTCCTGAAAGGGGGTTCTAGTAGTGAATTTCTTCCTCTTTTTTTTTAAATTCTCTATTTCTTCCTCATAGCTAAAAGATAGTTTTGGGGTGATAACTGGTACTTTGAACATACTTGGTTCTTTCGTTCTAGCCAGGCTTGTTGAGTTCCTGCTAAGTAGGCCCTGATAGGCTGGTGGGAATCACTGTATATTATGTGCTTTTATTCCCCATAGATCTTTCTCTTTCTTTCTTTTTTCATGGACTGACTGTTTATTTGTCTTGGTGTACACCTTTTTCACATTTGAATATCTAATAATTAGTAAGCTTGATAGATTTGATAATTTTCTTAGATTGTTGGTAAGTTCTCAGTATTTCCTTGAATAAGGTTTTGATTTGATGTTTGTCTAATGGGACACACATTATACTTCCGTGGCTAATTTTACATTTTATTTCTCTTTCTACTGTAGCAGACTTTCTGCCTTTGTGTATTTGAGTCTGTTTATCATTCACTTTTATATATCTTTTTACTTTCGTTCATTTTTTATACAATGCATTGTAGTTCCAGTATGTTATATAATAATTTTCTTCTCAATTGCCATGTAATCCCACCAATGGCCAAGACCCAGAGACTATAAGACCCAGCTCCTGGAAGCACGCAGCCGCATTTGTGGCTGCACGACATCTTATTATCTCATTCTTGCTTTGGACAACCTGGCAGGCCACCGAATGTAACCTGCCCACACGGCAGAGTCTGGCAAACTCCCCATGGCGTACCCGATATGCCAAATACCAGTAACAATGATGGGTCTCATTTTCCTAACCCTGAAAGAACCTTGAATGTGTCACTTTTTAGAATCTCAGGGATAGGATGAAGGAGACATCACTGGTGCCTGCTTGAGGCAATCGAAGAACAACAGGATGATCATGATCGTGATCGTCTCAATTGTTGAATTCTTCAGATATGGAAATCTGTTTGGCAAAGCACAGCTAATGTCCATTCATTTAATACTTGACTTTGCATTACCTTCAAGATGGTTGTTTAAAATTATCTTTCTATTAGGTATGATCTTTAATAGCTTAAGTCTTAAAGCAGTTCATCCCGACTGAACACTTGTCCCAGTGGGAATCAGAGAGAGATGATGGGAAAGAGAAGGCGGCTCCCACGGGAATAGCAAGCAGCCCCGAGGCCCGCAGCAATTCTCACATTCCATTCGCCAGGTGTAGCGTTTTCTCCACATTCCTCTTCCTGTTTATCAGCAGATAAGTCTGCAGTCTCTCCTAATGCAGGAGGCTGTGGGGAATTAGCTGGTCATTTCTGCTCCTGTGACACTGGACAGTCTGTCCCATGACGCGCACCTTCCACTTAGGAAGCTGGGCGTGGAGCTCATAGTTTTCCTCATATGCTGTTGACTCTGATACCTCCACTCCCCAGAGATTTGGTTTCACCCACGGCACATTCGAGAACCCCTGTACCAGCTCGCCAACCCACAACTAAGTCTTATTCATTGAGGTGGGACATTTTCCTGTGAAACCCTGGCGCTGAACACACATCTTTTTGAACAACAATCCGATACACTTTTCACCAAAAAAGGCAGCTCAGTAAACAAATGTCTGACAAAGGGTGATGTTTCGGGACTGACTAAAGCAACTAGAGTTCCTGTCGGGTCCTCTCACAAAGCAGAGGGTTCTGTGAGGGAGGGTGGGGCCCTGAGCCCCACAGCTGCCCCTTCCTCTCACCAGACCCCCATAGCCTCTGCCTGCCCCCCGGGTCTCCTGCACACAGGCGGAGGAGATTTTACTTTGCTCCTCCGTGTAAAGACCGTCACCGCTGCCTCCCGGAGAACTTGTCCTGCAGGGCCTGGCCTGGCTCGAGTGACTGTCCCTCTCTTACTAGGAGCAAGGCACAGTCTGGGCGCAGGGAGTGATCCTGGTGCGGAATCTGTGGAAGCCTTCTCCAGGGCCAAGTCTGGACCCTCGATGCAGATTGCAACCCCAGCTCTGGGGGCCAGCGGGGTCATTCATCAGTGGCCTCTCCTGGTCTGGCTTCTTCTGGCCCTGTGGTGGGAGTGAAGCCCTGAATGAATGACTGGGCGGTGCAAGCATTTGGGGGCCGAGCGCTTGGCCCCCGTCCCCAGCCTGTCCTCTCCGCAGAAGGACACGCGTTTCTCTACGAGGCGCTCGGCATCCGGCCGCAGTCCTCCTGGCAGATCGACCCCTATGGCGCCTCAGCCACCACCCCCACCCTCTTTGCGCTGGCGGGCTTCCAGGCCCATGTCATCTCCCGCATCAACTACAAGCTGAAGCTGGACATGCAGAAGGCCCAGGTGTGTGGCTGTGGGCCTCCCTGAGCCTCGCCTCATCCTTCCATTCCTGCCCTAAGCGCGCCGGCCTGCTGCCCCCTCGCCCTGTTCTCTCCCCTCGGCTGCGCCTCGGACCCTTCTGCCTCTCACCCCCGCCTTACCTTGGGCTGAGCAGGCCCCGGCTGGGTGCTCTGAGCACCCAAGAGCTGTGCCCAGTGCCCGGGGTGGCCACTTGGCATGCGGTGAGGGCAGCTCCTGGTACCCCGCAGCCACACACTGCCACCGCGGCCGCCTCTGTGCACTAAGGAGGTGGCAGCCATGAGCCAGCCCGGGGCTCTCCTTGACAGTCTGGAACAGCCCAGGCCAAGGAGCTGCTCTCCGCACTTGGGGGTGTAGAAGCCGCCACATCCCGAGCCTGGTGCGGACCGCAGCCTGTGCGCTGGGGTCTGGGAAGCGTCCATGCAAGCCCCACCGAGCCCCTGCACCTTCGACCTGCCAGGCCTCCCTGGGACCCCAAGCCAACCGGGCAGAGTCCCCGAGGGTGGATCCTACCTCTTTTGGCATTGTGGGCATCAGAAGCAAGCTTCTAGAAGCAGCGGAGGGAAAACCTCCCCGACGCCCTGAATGCTGACCCCAGAGATGACAGTGAGACCAGGCAGGCAGGGCAGGTGGGCCCAGACCAGCCCCACTGTCTCAGACCCCCGTGCTGTCCCTAACTCCGAGCTGCCTCCCCACCCCTGGAACCCCCCTCCCTGCCCCCGACCCCGTGATGCCCCCACCCCATGCTTCACCCGATCCCGTGCTGCCCCGACCCTGCGCCACCTCCGACCCTGTGCTGCCCCTGACCCCACTCTGCCCCTGACCCCGCGCTGCCCCTGACCCTGCTGCCCACCCTGTTAGAGTCTGCAGTTCGTATGGCGAGGGTCCCGCTCCCTGTTGGAGACGCAGCAGGAAATCTTCACGCACGTGATGGACAAGCGCAGCTTCTGCACGTGAGTGTCTGCCTCGGCCCAGCCTTTTCCCCCGGGTCCTGCATGGCCGCAGACCTGGGGGACACTCTCTGGGCCCCCCACGTGACAGAAAGACAAACCAAGGGGGAACCAGAGCAATCGGACAGTGGGAAGAGCCTTGCCTGGCATGCAGATGACTGGGGTTGGATTCCCGGCACCCCAGGGGTCCCTGTCAGGAGAGAGCCCTGGGTACCACCGCTGGGTGGGCCCCCCAGACAAAGAAGAGAAACTGAGACTGACCCCTCACTCACAGGCCTGCAGCGAGCAACATCTTTGTACCTAGGCTTGCTCTGCTCTATCTATAGGATGTCCGGCCGGGACCTTCTCAGAGTCTCTTTGTGCCTGTGAACTGGTGTGTACACAGTCCAGGTCTGCGGGGCAGGATGGGAAGCTGGGAGACGGGATGCCCGAGCATACCAGGCCTTCAGTGCCAGGGACGGTTCCTTAAGTCCTTTGGTTTAATCCTCTGGCTCATTCGGTCATTTGCCTGAAGCCCCCACAGGGTTGAGGTGCTCAGAAGCTGGCCACAGCCTTCTCCATTGTCAGCCCTATGAGGAGTGATGCAGGCGCAATCAGGAGAAGCCAGCAAAAATCAATGCACTGAGTGTAGAGCGTGGGGACTAGGGACAGAGAGAGGAGGCAGAGACGGGCTCCAAGACCAAACCAGAAATGGATGAGATGGACTTAATATTTACAGACATCCTATCCCAAACTTCAGATTTCACATTCTTTTAAATTGCATAGAGATTTTCTTGTGGGTAGTTGGTGTGGACACAAAATAATCATCAGGAACTCAATGAAGAATAAAACCGCATCATGCATCTTTTCAGATTACAATGACAGGGAAAGTAGCAGTAAAACAAAGAAGATGAAAATTCGCAAATATCTGGAGTCTGAAGAAAAATATACTGAACAAGTATCAGGTCAATAAGGAACCCAAAAAATGTCTGGAATACAACAAAATAAACACATGTGCTACCAGAACGCAGCATGGAACACCGCAAAAGTCGTTTTAAGAGGAAATGTTATAGCCACACAAATCTATTCCAGATAAAATACCATGAAGAAAAAAATTAATTCTTGCCTAGCCTAAGAGAATTAGAAAATGAAAATCGCATCAAATGTAAGTAGAAGGAAGTAATTCAAAACGAGTAGAAATGAATGACATAGTATTCGAGAAAAAATGTAAAGGTCAGTGATGCCAGGTGATGATTCTTTGAAATACATAAAAAAAAACAGTCGATAAACCTGTAGAAGAGACAAAATTCAGAGAAATGAAATAAGAATGGAAAGAGAAGTTATTGCATAGAGGTTCTATGCAATATTCCAGAAAATAAAGCATTATAGAGATATCATGGGCATTTCTCTTATGTATACAGAGGATTTATATACATGGCAACAAATGGGCAGTCTAGAATAAATAAACACATTCTTAGAATTCTGCTTGTCAATACTGAGTTGGGAGGAACTTTAAAATATAAAGACTTATCATCAATAAGGAAATTAAAACTTCAATCAAAATCCTTTGCCCCGAAAAAGCACAGGCAAGACTTTTTATGAGTGAAGTATACCAAAATTTCAAATGTTGACAGGTTGTTATACGAATCCAAAGATTTATTTCTATATCTTCTAGGTTCTCTAGTTTTGTGGCACAGAATTTTTTATGGTTTGACAGTTTTGTTTATTTTCTTGAAAAGCCAGCTTTTGGTTTTGTTCATCTTTTGGAGTTCCCCCCTGCATTTCATTGATTTCCACTCTTTTATTGTTTTCCTCCGACTTACTTTAGGTTCACTTTGTTGGTTTTCTGGGTTTTTGTTTGTTTGTTTGTTTGTTTGTTTGTTTTTGCTTTTTCGGTCACACCTGGTGATGCACAGGGGTTACTCCTAGCTCTGCACTCAGGAGTGACCTCTGGCGATGCTCGGGGGACCATATGGGATGCTGGGAATCGAACCCGGGTCGGCCCTGTGCAAGGCAAACGCTCCACCCGCTGTGCTGTCTCTGCAGCCCCATCACTTTGTTGGTTTCCTTCCGGCAGCTCCAACTGTAAAGTTAGGTATTTCTTGTGGCCCTTTCTTCTGGCCTGACTTCACTTGCCTTGCTATCAACTTCCCTCTGAGAATAGCTTTCGCTGTGTCTCATATGTTATGGTGACTCGTGTTTTTATTCTTATTCATTCCCAAGAATCTTTCAATTTCTTTGATGATTTCGTCTTTGACCCATCGATTGGAGAGTAGTTAGTTGTTTGATTTCCAAGAGTTTCTCCAAGTTTCTGTTGTGATTAATTTTCACTTCCAAGACATCTTTATCTGAGACGACAGTTAACACAGTTTCTATCTTCTTGATTTTTTTCAGAGATGTTTTTGTGTCCCAGCACATGGCCTCTCTCAGAGAAAAATTTGTAATTAGTGTTTGTGGAAAAGGAGCCCCACCCACATTTGTTAGTACCAGCTCTTCCCTTTCTCCCTTGAGGCCAGTGTGTCCTTGCTGAGTTCTGCCCTGTTTATCTCCCCGGCCAGTATCAAACCTCTGGCTGCTATTCTGTTTCTTTCACTATCTATCCGCAGGGTTATGAATAGTCACTTTAAACATCTTGATGTCCAAATAATCAAGTATGTATATATATATACATATATATATATTTAGGAGTACGCATCCTTCTTTTTTTCCTGCTTTTTGGATCATACCCAGTGATGCTCAGGGGTTACTCCTGGCTCCCACTCAGGAATTAATCCTGAAGGTGCTCAGGGAACCCTATGGGATGCTGGAGATCAAACCCAGGTCAGCCTTGATCGAACCCAGGCAAGTGCCCTACCCACTGTGCTATTGCTCTGCCCCATTGCATCCTTCTTAATGCATAGACCCTTGATAATTAATTAATGACCCCTTGTCTCTCATTTTTTTTATTGAATCACCATGAGACACAGTTAACAAAGCTCTCATGTTTGGATTTCAGTCATAAAATGGTCGAACACCTATCCCTCCACCAGTGCACACTTTCTATTGCCAACGTCCCCAATATCCCTATACCCCCCAGTGTCCCACCCCCTCCTCTTGCGTCTATGGCAGACAATTTCCCCCATACTCTCCCTCTACTTTTGCTGCCCCTCATTTTACGCCTGAATATTATGCTGTCTGCTATAAGTGTGGCCACCTGGCCATTGGTAGGTCATTGTTTCCCTGAAAGGTCTTCAAGCCTTGGACTCTGGGCTGTGTCTGTCCCTCTTGTGAGAAGTGGCTTTTGAAGGCAGCAGAAAGTCAGCCAGTTTCTGATAGAGCCTGACGCCCTGAGACCCTGGACTGCTGATTCCTGCCCATGGACATTAACTGACACCATTGAGATGCAAAATATTGCCATCATTTTATAGAGGTCCTGAGGGCTTGTGAAATTTGTCTATTCTTTGGTATTTTTTGATTTTTGGGCAACACCAGCTGAGCTGAGGACTTGTTCCTAGCTCTGTACTCAGGGACCAGTTCGGGCACCTGTGGGGCACCAGGGATTGAATACAGGCTGGTCATGTGCAAGGCAAGATTACTGCCTGCTGCACTCTCCTGGCCCCCGTTTGGTTTATCTTTTAAAGAAATTCCTTTAATCTTGAAAAACTGGCTTCAAGACTCTGAATTTCCTAACCTGTCCACGAAGCATTGCAACATTCCTTTAAATCTGAACGATAACCTAGCTGGATGGAGGATTCTAGGGAGGCTTTCATTGCATTTTTTTTTAAATATATCAAACCATTCTTCTCTGCCTGTGGAGTCACACTTGATAAGTCTCCTGTGAAACTTGTGATAGTTCCTGTGGCTGTAAGTTCCTTCTTGGAGCTTACTGGTTCCAAAATTCTACCTTTGGCTCTAATTTTTGTCATTTTAATCCCAATACATCTTAAAGTTTTATAAGTTTGAGTTTATTTTGGCTGGAATCCTTGGGTCTTCTTAAATTTGGATGCATGTGCTCTTTAACTCTGTAAAATTGTTAGTCATCATTTTCTTTTTTTTTGTTTTTCTTTTTAGGTCACACCTGGCGATGCACAGGGGTTCCTCCTGACTCTGCACTCAGGAGTTACTCCTGGCAGTGCTCAGGGGACCATATGGGATGCTGGGAATCGAACCCGGGTTGGCCGCGTGCAATGCGAACGCCCTACCCGCTGTGCTCTTGTCCAGTCCCAAGTCATCATTTCTTTGACTAGAAGTTTTTCATCAACCTTTTCTTCCTGTTCCTCTGGGACGTCTGGATTCTTGCATTGTTCCTCTTGAATTGGTCCCATCACTCTGGTCAGTTCCTCTTATGTCAGGCTGCCTCTGACCTTCTGTTGTTTTGCAGAGATTTCCTGCACTGCATGACCAAGATCGCTGAGTCTTCCTCCAGCCACTGTCTCTGCGGCTGAGGCCTTCCCTCGAGGGCTTTCACGAAGCCTGCCTTTCAGTTCTGTTTTTTCTGATCGCAGTTTTCTCAGCTGCCCCTCTCGCATGTTCTCGTGCTTTATTCACTGCCTGTACCATCACTTCTTTCGGTTCATGAAATATCCCCACCTGGTATCTCTGGAATTCTCTTCTGAGGATAGCAGGCAAGTGCTGGAAGCGCCTCTGGGCCCTTTCTCAGCTGTGCTCTTCTGCTTTACCATCTAGACTGGGGACAGCTTCTGCTGGTGCAGTTACAGAACCTTTCTTGGCCTTTTTCCTCCAGTCTTCAGGTTGGGAATTCCAGGTTTCCGGAGTTCGGGTAATCTTGGGTCCACTTTGTCCAGCACTCAGGGCCTCAGTTCCATGGCTTACTGCCTCTTCTCAGTTGCTGCACTGCTGAATCATGTGTCTAGTGGCCACACAGTCTAACGCCCTGAATTGCTGCAGTTCCAAATGCAGACACCTCTGGTATCCTCTGAGGCATCCTCTGCTGCTTTCCCCTGCCAGGCCTCATACAGGACCGCAGCTGCTTCCATTCTGATGACCCCAGAAAGTGCTGCTTCCCTTCGGGTGGTTCCATTTCCCAGTGCAGCTCCCTGGGGTCACTGGCCTGCCATCTTGACCCACCTCTTCTGACTTCAATTTTTAAAAATTATATTTAGCTTCTTCACTTTGCATTATATTAGATTCTTCACTTTGCTTTTTCTACAAACCTGGTTTCTCTATGTTGCATGATAATCCCTTTGTGCTGCCCATTCTATGACTGCTGCTAGCACACCCGGCCCCTAAGGCGAGACCCCATTTGCTGTGTTCAGCCTCTCCGCAGCCTCCCAGCTGAGTCTGAGGAGGAGTCAGTGAGCAGAAGTGAGCTGAGTTGAAGAGTCAGTGAGCAGAAGTGAGTCCCCCCCTTCCGCTGAGAGGCTGCCCCAAGCAAGACGGAGGAGCAGTCTCTGGCAAGTCCCACCTCATGCTCTGGCCATGTCCCCCTCAGGCGGCTCCTTCTGCCTTCACTCCCTGCAGGATGTCTCAGTGGAATGAGTCTGTGCTCTTCCCAGATGTCCCCTCACTCGACAACTTGCTGTACCCTGAAATCGACATTCCCCTCACTTCAGAAGACCTTAAGCCCATGGCTGAAAAACTGGTGAAGGATATGAAAGAGCGAGTGGATGGGTACCAGACACAGCACTTCCTCTGGTCCTGGGTAAGTTGGGGGCCCGACCTGCCCCCATACCTCATGCCACCTGGTCTCCTGCACCATGGGACTCAGTCACGCCCCTTTCTGCCACTCACAAACCCTCACCTGTTCCACTAACTTCTTTTGTGTTTTACCTTGTTTGGGGCTGGGGGCCCAGTCTGCAGTGCCCAGCGCTCACTCATGGCTCTGTGTTCGAGGTCATTCCTGGTGGACTTTGCAGGACTTATGGAATGTGGGGGATTGCACCTCTGTCAGCCGCATCTAATTTTGGGTGTGCAGGCTCTTGAACTCAATTTGCTAAGATTTTGTTGAGGATTTTTGCTTCAACATTCATTAGGGAGATGGGTCTAAAGTTTTCTAGAAGGGTCTCTATCTGCTTGAGGTATTCATGTGATGCTAACTTCTTAGAAGGTATTAGGAAAGATTCCTGTTTCTTCAGTATTTGTAAGAGTTTATGGAGTAAAGGATTCTCTGAAGGTTTGACAAAACTCTTCCGCAAGCCTCTCTGGACCAGGGCTTTTGTTCTTGGGGAGATTCTTAACTACTGCTCTGTTTTCATTCGTTGTGACCACCCGTTCAGGCTTTCTACTTCCTCCTCCTTCAGTTTTGGGAGATCATGTGATTCTGAGAATCTGTCCATTTCTTCTAGGTTCTCTGGGTTAGCAGTATAAAGTTGCCTGGGGGTATCTCTCAAAATATTTTTTAATTTCAGAAGGGTCTGTTGTAATTTCTTCTCGCCTTTTCTCCTTTGAAGAAGTCAATGTTGTCTCTTGAACGTATATTCCTCTCTTTCTCTCCCCTCACTTCTCTGTATCTCTAAATTTCTTTTAGAGTGCTGGAGCTATGATACAGTGGGTGGGACACTTGCCTTGCACAACCGACCCACCTGGGTTCAGTCTCCATCACCCCATAAGATCCCACACGCACCAAAGTGATTCCTGAGTGCAGAGCCAAGAGTGGCCCCTGAACATCACCATCCACAAAAGAAAACTTTTCAAAAAGCCTATTTTTCTTCACTTAATAGAAATTTAGAAATAATATATATTACTAAACTTTTAAGGAAAAATAAAGAAAGGAACCCACTGGACATTCAGCTGTGGGGTCTGGTTTGTGGGCTTCCTGGCCGGTGTGGGAGGGGGGCAGAGAGGGAGCGCCCCAGGAGCCTGTCCTGCGTGGGTGGCTCAGTTCCTGTGCAGCTCTGTTACTGTGTCCCCTGCAGGGATGTGACCGGAAGTTCTTCGACACCTTACAGCAGTTCGACAACATGGACCTTATAATAAGCCACATTAACCAGAGGGCCTCGGAGCTCGGAGTCTCAGTGGAGTATGCCACTCTGGAAGAGTATTTCCGGGCCCTGCACGAGCTCCGTGTCACCTGGGCGGTCCGTGACCACCGCGACTTCCTGCCGTATTCCTCAGGTAGGGGATGCTGGGGTGGGGATAGAGATTGGCACCCAGAAGTGTCCACTTCAGTGATCACTCCGCCATACTCCTGTGAGCCCTTAGTGGCCAGAGATGTGCCCAGCTACCTCAGGTGGGAGGCTCGTAACCAGCCAGCATCCCCCACGCCAATGCCCTCCTCCATACCTCGTGCCCGTAGCTCTTCTGTGGGGTGTCTGCGCCATTCCCCTCCCTGTAGGCCCCACTAGCCTCTGCTGTCATCTCCAGAAGTGCTCTCGCCTGAACGCTAGATTAAACATCACCTTGGCACCCTCACGCTGCCTGGAACTATGGCCATAGCTTCCAGTAACCAAGGGTCATGACTGACCCACACGGAAGTCAGTGCTCAGGGACCTTCTTTAGAGGAAAGAAAGGGCTTTGTTGTGGGGTCAGTGAGTCCATGCACTCTGTTTTGTGGGCTGCAGATCTTTCTAGAATTAATAGGCAACAGCATATGAGAAAGGATCAGTTTGGCAAACACATGTCTGGAGGCTCTGTGTGGGGCATTCCTGGGGCTGGCAGAAGAAGGTTCCTGGACTGGGTGTGCCCAGAGAAGCCTGACCCGCAGGACACACGCGGTCTCTGGGCAGCTGCACCTTCACTGCACGTTTGGGATCTGGGGAGTGAGACACAGCTTCAGGTCTAGCTGTTGCTTTTCGTCAAAAATCTAAGTATCCCCAGAAAGTTTGTCATCTGTGATGCAAAACAGGACTAGAGAGGCTGCTGTCTCCGCCCAGCACATGGGCAGACACTGTTACTTGTCAGCGATTGTTTTCCATTGTTTAACTGAATCACCATGAGATACACAGTCACAAAGCTTTCATACAGTGTTCCAGCACCCAGCCCTCCACCAGTGTCCACTTCCTGCCACCAGTGGGCAGACCCTGGCCACAGCACTCTAGAGTGGGCGTGGCACACACCAGGGCGTCCCTGTAGAAGGCTCTGGCGATGCAGTGATGGGATGGACGAGTTGGTGCTGGGCCGGTCTCTGAGGACCCTTGGGGACTTGCGGCCAAGGCAGCCTGGGGCTGTGGTGCTCTGAGTTGGGCTGCAGATGTCACCGTCCGCATGACCCCCACAGCCCTGCACATTCCAAGACATCCTGTGGATTCCCAATCACTGGAGATTCCAGGGAGAGTCCCGCATGGGCCCGGGAGACACGGGCTGGGGGTTGCCCACTCCCTCCACACCCGCCGTGGACCCAGCCTTCTCGCTTTCCCACACTAGCCTATGGCTCTTCAGCCCTCAGGGACGCCCCCAGCCCTGCCTGGCCTTGTCCCGAGTCGCACAGAGCTGTCTGCTGGTGCCTGGTCCCACCCCACTCCCCCCAGCCCCCTCCTCTCCCAGGCTGGGTTCATGGGATTCCCCACGTTTTCCCTTGCCCAGTTTCCAGCCAAACCCACAGCGGCCGCCTCTGTGGTGCTCCCTGTTGCCGGCTCCTCCCGGGCCCCCTCCTCACCCTGCTGGCTCTTGTGTCCCAGGGAAGTTTCAGGCCTGGACAGGCTTCTACGCCTCCCGCAGTGGGCTCAAGGCCCTGGCCAGGCGGGCTAGCGCCCTGCTGTACGCTGCGGAGTCCATGTTCGTGCGGCACCTGTGGCCGGAGCACGACTCGACTGTGAACGCCTCCTGGGCCCTGCAGCAGCTGCAGCAGCTCCGCTGGGCCGTGTCCGAGGTAAGGACACAATGACCAGGTGCAGTTACCACCGCGGGCCCCACAAAGCCTGGGTTCCTGAGGAGACGCTGAGGGCGCTGTGTGGTGGTCTGGGCCGTGCTCTCCCCGTGTGTGACCATAGCTCTGTGATGGTCCCGGGAAGGCTCGGGCCAGAGCTCTTGTGACCCCCGCTGGGCCTGAGGGTCATGCAGGACATGGGAGGTCCCTGGACCTGGGCTGGCCCATGCCCCTTTTGTCTGTCGAATTGCTTCTCACACTGGAGGATGGAGGACGTTTAACAGGACGGTAACAACCGAACTGCTGACTGCGGCCCTACCAATGTGGGCCTGTGAGTCCAGAGGGAAGGCGCCAGGCAGAGAAGGCCGCCAGAGTCCACCTCCAAAGAGGCTGCCCAGTGGGGGCCAGGCAGAGGGCACTCCTGGGAGAGGCTAGGCCCACCCGCCTCAGTGCAGATGAGGGGGATGTGGGTGTGTCTGGGGGACTCAGGGTGCTCTGAGTGCCTGTCCTTGGCGGGGGCTGGGGGGCATCAGGGGGCTCGTCCTGCTGCAGGCAGACTCAGAACCAGACTAGTTTGTTGCACTCGGAGCTGGTTCGGGGTGGTGTGGGAGGACGGGGCCCTGGCAGGTCACCTCCTGAGCAGTCTGCGGGGCCCAGTGCCATTCCCTACTGTCTTCTGGGGTTTCAGGTCCAGCATCACAATGCAATCACTGGCACAGAGACTCCCAAGGTGAGAGACATATACGTGGACCACCTGACTGAAGGCATGGAGAATGTACAGGATGTGATGCTCTCTATCATCAAGGACAGGGGGCAGGCCAGCAAAGGTAAGGCGGGCAGGATCTGGCCCAGGGCCAGCCGGGCTTCCAAGTCAGCTGTTTCCACCGGCACGGTGGCTATCCTCGACATGCCCTGGGGACTGCTCGCCAACTTTGCTCTCTCCCATCCCGTGCCATGCAGACCTCCAGCCCTGTGTCTGTGAGGGTCTCAGGTACCAACAAACGGGCTGGACCATGGAGTTCCAAGCGGAGGAGTGAGCCCTGCGTGCCCATACCCCCCACTCTGCCCGGTGCCCTCTCCCCTCGCACCTGCTCCAGTGACCTGGCCCCCCTCCGGCCTCCTGCCTCCCTGTCTGACCTCAGACTCGGGGGGCGGGCAGGACCCTGCCTGCAGGGGTGGGCTCACAGAGAGAGAGCCGCAGAGAGTCAGGTCCTGAGTCCCAGGTCACCGGGCGGGCGGGTGCGTCCATTTCATAATGTCAAGGAGGCTCCTGGGCACACACGGGTGCTGAGGACCGCAGCACAGTCCCGGGCACAGAGACAGAATAGCACAATGGGCATGTGCTTGGAGTCAGAGGCCATCAGACGCGGCCACAGCACCGAAGGGTTCTGTGTCCATAGTCCAGGGGAGAGGTCTGGGTCCTGCTTGCTGCCCAGCATGCTGCTGCTGAAGCAGGTCTGAGCTCCCGACTCACTCAGAGGAGGCTTCTCCTCTCTGGCTTGTGTTTCCTCACCGGGCGGGGGAGGGGAGCTCAGGAAACTTCGAGTGTCCCTGGACAGTGGAGGAGCGGGTCTGTGGCCGGCACCTGTCCTCACGCCCCACCTGCCTCAGTTTCCCTTGCTGCCAGGTGAATGAGTCCCTTCCAGTAAGGTTGGTCTCTGCGTGCAGGTCCGGAAATCGCTGGCCACCTTGTGGTGATCTACAACCCCCTGGCCTGGAACGTCACCACCATCATCACCCTCACCGTGGCCTACCCCCACTTCAGCCTCACAGACGACTCAGGAAATCTTGTGCCGGCCCAGGTAGGGGTGGGAGGTGCTGCCCCCGTGTGCCATCCTGTCCAGTCAGCGCCCTCACAGAGAGGGGCAGGGACAGTGGCACGTGATGGGCAGTGGGGAGAGAGGGGGTGGGCTGCTGCGTGGGGAGGGCACTGGAGGGTGTGGGGAGGGCATGGGGAGGGGAGGGAAGAGGAGGGAGGGCACAGAGAGGGGAGGGGAGGGAGAGGGAGGGGAGGGCGCTCCGCTTCTGTGAGACTGGGGACAGCCTCTCTCCTGCAGGCTGGGCGCCCCCTGGAGTTGAGCAAGCCACAGCCACAGGGCAGGGCAATCTCTGAGTCTGGTCCCATTTCATCCTGTCCACAGAACTGGCAGATGCAAAGATCCAAGAGCCCGTCCCTCTATGACGTCCACTTGCTGATCACAATCCCTGGCCTGAGCTATCAGCACTACAGCATCAGATGCATGCAGAAGAGCTCCAACACCATGGTCACCCCCAAGCGTTACGGCCGCAAGAAGAGGACATCCAAAGGGTCCAGCGACAAGAACCTGGTGTCGGTGCAGAATGACTGCTACACCGTGTTCCTGGACCTGGATACCAACTTGATGTACAGCATCTGGGAGAGGTGAGGGTACCACTCTGGGCAGATGCACGGGTTCTGCACCTTTCACCCTGCCCTGAGTCCCTGGGTCCCGGCTTCTGGAGAGGGGACCTGAAAGGGTTGGTAGCTACGTCCTGTTTCACCATTTTATTTCTAAGAGCATAATTTGTTTTCTTTTTATTTATTGGTTATTTTATTTTATTATTATTTTTTAATTTTTTGAATTTGATAACGCCTTCAGGGTCAGGGGAATGAGACCCATTGTAATTACTGGTTTTGGCATATCAAATACACAACGGATAGCTTGCCAGGCTCTGCCGTGTGGGTGGAATACTCTCGGTAGCTTGCCAGGCTCTCCAAGAGGGATAGAGGCTTTTGGGGCTCCCTTGTAGGTGTTCCCATGGTTCAAACCATATTTGAACCCTATCAAATACAGTACAGCAATCCTGGAAGATGGGTATTAAGTGTCTTATAATGTGTTGTGCGGCCACTTTGTGGCCGCGCAGTCCGGAAAGCATCCTGGAGCATGGTGGCGGCTGGTAGTGGAGGTAGTGGAGGTAGTGAAGGTCTGCCGGTGAGGTATTTATCTGGTACCACTAGGGGTAGGGTTGGTCTTCTGTGCGCAATCCAATCCCTGGGTCTCTGGCGGTTGGTGGAAGCAGACAGGGCAGGGTAGGGTGGGGCTCCTGGTTTTATCCCTTTGTCACCTGTGGTTGGTGGGAGCAAGCAGAGGATCTCTGTCCCGGGGTCCATTGAGCCTGGAGTCCAAGGTCTCAGAGTTCCACTTATCTTGTTCTGTGGGGCTTCATTTGTGCGTGAGTCTTGGCCCGAATGTCCGGAAAGTGTCCTGGAGCATGGCGGCGGCTGGGTAGTGGAGGTAGTGGAGGTAGTGGGAAGGAATAGGAGTGAAGATAGACGGTCGGCAACTACACCATCTCCACTTTGCTGATGACATCATTCTAATAACACCAAACATTAGCCAAGCAGCACAAATGCTGGCCGACTTCGACCGTGAGTCTGGAAAGGTCGGACTACAGCTGAATCTTACAAAGACAATGTTTATGAGAAACAGCCTCGTTCCTGACGCTCTATTTGCTCTCAATGGAATGACCATCTCCCAATGCAACAGTTATGTGTACCTAGGTCAAGAAGTCAACATGACGAATGACCTGGCACCTGAGTTGCGCAGAAAGAGAGCAGCTTGGAACACCTTCAAGAGCATCGAAGAAATAGCTAAGAGGACAAAGAACCTCCAGCTCTGGGCACATCTCTTCAATTCCACTGTTCTTCCTGCATTAACATATGCCTCAGAGACCTGGGCCCTACGAAAACAGGATGAAAACACTATTCGGGTCTCCGACAGTCAAGAATCAGTGACGCTGTCTCTTTTGCCAAGGCGTTGAAAATTAGATGGGCTGGACACATAATGAGATTTGGAGACGACCACTGGACTAGAGCCATTACCGACTGGATTCCACGGGAAGTCAAAAGACCACGTGGCTGCCCACCTACCAGATGGTCAGACTTCTTCATCAAGACCTTGAACGATCGGTTTGAGGCTTTTCATGTTCCTAGAACAAACGGACGCCATTGGGCTACACTAGCACGCGACAGGGACAAATGGAGATGTTACTGGCGCCCACTCAAGCAAATCGATGATTAACGGGAAGTCAAGCGATCAAGTGATTTTTTGAATTTAAGTTTTATTAGTGAAACACCATGAGGTACTGTTGTAGACTTACAAACTTTCGTACTTGGGTTTCAGTTATACAATGATCCAGTACCCATCGCTCCACTGGTGCTCATTCTCCACCACCAATAATCCCAGGAACTCTCCCACTCACCCCAGCCCCATTCCCCACCCCCCACCCCTGCCCTGCCTCTGTGGCAGGGCATTCCCTTTTGCTCTCTCTTTCCTTTAGGGTGTTGTGGCTTGCAATAGAGGTATTGAGTGGCCATCGTGTTGGGTCTATAGTCTACTTTCAGCACACATCTCCCATCCCGAGCATGCTGTTCCCTTTACTTGCTGTTCCCTTCTCTATCTGAGCTTCCTTTCCCCCCAGCATGTGCTGCCGACTTCCATGCCATGGAGCAAACCTCCTGGTACTTATCTCAACTATTCTTAGGTGTTAGTCTCCAATTCTGTTACTTTATATTCCGCAGATGAGTGCAATCTTCTATGTCTGTCCCTCTCTTTCTGACTCATTTCACTTAACATGATACTTTCCATGTAGAACTACTTCTATGAAAATTTAATGCCTTCATCTTTTCTAACAGCTGCATAGTATTTCATTGTGTAGATGTACCAAAGTTTCTTTAACCAGTCATCTGTCCTTAGGCACTTTGGTTTTTTCCAGATTTTGGCTATTGTAAACAGTGTAGCAATGAACATACAAGTGCAGATGTCATTTCAACTGTACTTTTTTGCCTCTCTGGGATATTTTCCAAGAAGTGGTATTGCTGGGTCAAATGGGAGTTCAATTTCTAATTTTTTTTTTGAGGATTGTCCATACTGTTTTCCAACAGGGCCGAACCAGTTGGCATTCTCACTAGCAGTGAAGGAGAGTCCCTTTCTCCCCACATCCATGCCAACACCAGTTGCTTTTGTTCTTTTGGATGTGGGCCAGTCTCTGTGGTATGAGATGATATCTCATTGTTGTTTTGATCTGCATCTCCCTGATGATTAGTGATGTAGAGCATTTTCTCGTATACCTTTTAGCCATTTGGATTTCTTCTTTGAGAAAGTTTCTGTTCATTTCATCACCCCATTTTTTGATGGGGTTGGATGTTTTCTTCTTGTGGAGTTCGACCAGTGCCTTGTATATCCTTGATATCAACCCTTTATCAGATGGGAATTGGGTGAATATCCTTTCCCATTCTGCAAACTATCTTTGCATTTTGGTCACTGTTTCTTTTGAGGTGCAGAAGCTTCTTAGTTTAAGATAGTCCCATTTGTTTATCTCTTTTCACTTGCTTGGCTAGTGGTGTGTCATCTTTGAAAATACCTTTAGCTTCAATGTCGAGGAGGGTTTTGCTGATCTTGTCTTCAATGTACCTTATGGATTCCAGTCTGATGTTGAGTTCTTTGATCCATTTTGATCTGACTTTTATACACGGTGTTAGATAGAGGTTGGTCACGGTCACGGTCCTCCTGTTGTTCATTGATTTGTTCGAGTGGGCCCAGTAACATCTCCGTCGTGAGACTTGTTACTGTGTTTGGCATATTGAATACGTCACGGGTAGCTTGCCAGGCTTTGCCATGCAGGCGAGATACTCTCGGTAGCTTGCCGGGCTCTCTGAGAGGGGCAGAGGAATCGAACCAGTTTTTCCAGCACCGTTTGTTAAAGAGGCTTTCCTTGCTTCACTGCACGTTTCTTGGTCCCTTATTGAAGATTAGATGATTAGGGGCTGGAGCGATATCACAGCGGGTAGGGCATTTGCCTTGCACGCAGCTGACCCAGTGCTTTATATTCTGCAGATGAGTTCGATTCTCAACCACCCCCCAAGCCTGACCCACAGCAAACCCAAAATAATTTATTTTATATTGCTTGTTATCATTAAATGGCTAATGGAATTATCAAAAATATTACAGTAAAAGAAAATTTATGAAAATTGTTGTATCTCACAGTGGGGACATTTAGAACTTGTCTGAGGGCTTCCGGAGCTACTGTTGCTAATTCCTTGTTCATGGTTTTGTTCACTGAGCTTAGTTTGGCTTCCGTGTTACTTTCCCATCTGATTTTTCTCCTGCTGGGATGGCAAAGTCACGTGGTAATGCGGCCATGCTCCTAGAAAACCCAGAATATTTTTTTTAAATCATTATCTAACTTTTTCTTTTGTTGCTTTTTTTAATGAATCACCATGAGATATAGTTACAGACTTACAAACTTCAGTGATTATGTTTCAATCATACAACGATCGAGTACCATCCCTCCGCCAGTATCCATTCTCCACCACCAACATTTCCAGTATCCCTCCTGCCACCCCACCATACACACCCACCTCTGTGGCAGGCTCATAAAACCCAGAATATTTAATTGGGCAGTGAGCGTATTTGCAGCAATTGTGGGATATGGGTGTGGCTTCCAGGGCCTTTGGAAGTATGGGGGTGGGGTGTGGGGGAGGCTGCCTGCCCTCACTCCGAGGAGACCTCAGACTTCTCAGCCAAAAGCAAATAAACAAAAACAAAAAAAATGCCAGTGTTCTGGGGCTGCAGTGATGGTGCAGAGGGAGGGCGCCTGCCTTGCACACATCCCATTTGGTTTTGATCCCCAGCATCCCATATGGTCCCGAGCACTGCCAGGACTGATCCCTGAGTGCAGAGTCAGGAGCGACTCCTGAGCATTGCCAGTATGGCCCCCAAACAACCCCCCCAAAAAAACCCCAAATCTACCCAGAGTATCTGAAATTTCTGGCAGTTTGGCCTTCCTGCGAAGCTCAGTTGTGAGGTCGGGGGTCTGGCCGTTGGCAGCTGCTGCCGGGAGAGACACTGTGGGGCCTTTGGCAAGGTGAGGTCTCTGCCTGCCCCCTCCTGCGAGTGCCCGAGTTCTCAGCCAGAAACTGATATACCCGTGAATTTTCGCAGCTATTGATCTCTTCCAAGATCTAACCATGGTCTGCAAAGCTGGGCCAGCAGGCAAGCCCCGCAGGGCAGCGGTGGGCGGTCAGCTTCATCGTCATCTTCCAGGACTATTGGCTTCCAGCAGGGTCCGTACTGAAGGACAAACCTCCAGAAAAGCATGAGGAGTGACATTCATGGAGAGGCATCCGAGCACCCTGGATATGCATTGACCCACTCACCGACCTCCCGTCCACCCACCCTGGGGCCTCCGTTCACCTTTCAGTTCCTTCTGTGCAGTTCCAGACACTCCCCCTAGTCTTGCCTCCTCAGCATCATTTGTCCACTCACCAAATTCTTGCTCTTCTTGTATCCTTTAGTTTTTCTCTCTACCTCCTGTCCATCTGTGTCCTGATCTGTTCCAAATCTCTCCTGTCGATCCGATCCATCCACAGCTGGTCTTTCTGTACCACTCTCTCTAACCCGCCATCGTCTCTCCCTCCTGTGCGTCATCCCTCCCACCTCCCACTCCCTGTTCTCCAGTCGACTTCACAACACCCCTGACTCCTTCCCATCTGTCCATCTGCCACACATCCACTCCAGTTAGTGACAGTTCCTTCGAGGCCTCAACAATAGTCCATCCACGTGGCACCATTCACCCATTTTATCCACCCCCTGAAACTCCCAATAGTCCAACCATTTCCTTAACATTGGCACTGATCACATCGGTATCTCACATTGCTCATCTCGCCGTCCACCTCATGAGTCTGCCAAAGCACGAGGCCCTCAACATTGAGTGTCCCATCGCCCCCATGCCCACCCGCCCACATTGGCATCCTGTAGCATGTTTGTCAGCCGTGGTACTCACGGCAGGGCAGGTTCCCGTCGGCGGGGTCGGTTGCTCCCAAAGGCTGCGCCTCTCGCTTCCAGCCCTGCTGCCTCTGACAGACACTGACGGATGTTTCCGCTGGGGCCTAGAACAGGAGAGAAAAAGTGATAATAGCAGAACATTGATAGAAAAAAACTGTCAGGCTGTGAGGAAGGAAGGGAGGAGAGGGAGCTGGGAAGAGCAGCGGTGTGCGCGGAGGGAGAGAGACTCGGGGCAGAGCCCCCCGGAGCTGGATTCACTCTGGCGTCCTGTGAGAGAGAGTGGCCGATGGCGACTGACCACAGCTGCCATGGGGGCAGCAGGTAGGCATGAGACTCGGCATGGCTCCGGGCTTCCCTGGGTGGCCAGGGACTGGTGGAGTCCATGGGCTGACCAGCCGCCTTCTCTCTGGACGATGATGAGACCAGCCCCAGGCCTCTTCTCCCCATCCCGCCCGCGTTTCTCGGACGGCCCTTTGCTAGCCGAAGCTCAGACAATGCCCGGATGCAGAGTCCACGTTCCTCTCAGGGGGTTCAGCACAAATGCGGAGTTGGGGCTGGCGGGGGTCACCCTGGCGCATCATGACTGGGCTCCCAGGGTCACGTCTCTGGGCTCTGGCCCCGACCGCGGTGTTGGAGAATCTGGCCACTGAACTGAGCCACAGCCGGGAGGCGGGGGCAGCTCACTGCGGGGGGGCTGCCTGCTGAAGGCAGAGGGGGTCCCTGGTGTCACCTCTGGGGCCAGGGCATCTGTTCCTGTCCCTCCTTGGACATCTGCCCTGGGACAGAAGAGTGTGATGCCACGTTGGCTCCGGGTGCCTCTGAAGACCCTGGAAACGACTCTGGGCTCTGGGGCCTCACGGCCACCTCCCTGGGCATCGGCTCCTTAGGCTCGTCCAGCTGCTCGTCCTCACGCGCAGCCCCGGGTCAGCCACCCATGATGCCGACACCGTCTCCCCTCCCGCCTTCTAGAGAGGGGAATAGCACGGTGCGCATGACACAGGATTTCCTGGAGTACCGAGTCAATCGGCACACACAGAAGAACCTCTTTTCCGATAACTTCATGTTCACACCCGTTGGCCCCGCTCAGCGGGCCTGGGACTCTGTGGCACTGGCGATTGTGCCAGGGAAGCTCCTGACTGAGATCCGGCAGTACTTCTACAGGTGACTCCCCTCCCTCATGCAGGGGCGTGGGAGGGAGGAGGTAGAGTTTGCCCCAGACGCCCAGTGCCTGCCCCCACCTGGGACGTGTCTCGGGTCTGTGCAGGGTGCATGGAGCCCAGGCTGCTTTGGTGTCTCGGACCCTGGTTCTGTGGGGCTGCAGCTCCCGGAGGCGCAGACTGTTCCCCATGCGGTGCCTCAGCCCGGGGGTTCCTTGCTCTCCCAGTGACAGACAGATGTTGCATTAGGCTTGGCGGGAAGGTCCACTCCACGAGGGACCACACTTGTCCCCTTACTTTGTCAATAGTCTCTGTGGCCAAGCCCACTCTGGCCGAGAGGGAAGGAGGGAGGGTGAATGAGTGGAGATGGAGGGAAGGAAATGGATGGAGAGGTGGGGGTAGAGGGAGGAGGAAGGGCTACAGAGCGAGGTGGGTCAGCAGCTCCTCCTCCCACAGTGGGGCAGACAAGACCCCCACCTACATCCTCTACTCGCGAGTAGCCCACGTGTCTCCCGTCTCCAGCGGGGCACTGCTGTGCCACCGCTTGGAGCAGGAGCTCCAGGTAGGACCCCTTAAGGTCAACCGTGAGGCCATCCTGAGGACCAGCACTGGACTGGACACACAGAAGACCCTCTACTCAGACAATAATGGCTACCAGATGCAGCAGAGGACCTTCCAGGAGCCCAGGGAGAACGTCAGGGCCCAGGTATGCTCCAAGATCCTGAAGGTCCACACGGCCCTGTCCAGGGCAGCGGGTGCGAGCTGCTGTCACCATGAGTGCCCGGCGCTGGGGCCTGAGCTCTGCCCAAGCCAGATGTGTTCAGTTGCCCCTGGTTGTCCCTGAGCCCCAGAGGACATTGCTTCAAGGATGAGGGCAGGGGCACTTCCAGGCCCTCCCAGAACCCAGGACCAGGGTCTGGCCACTGCGCCATCCTTGTCAGTGGGGCTGGCACAGGTCCCATATTCCTCAGCATGTGCTGGCCTAGGGCTGCAGTGGACAGAGGGGCGCATGGCAGCCCGAAGGGACCCGGTTCCCTGGCTCTCGGGACAGGTCAGTGAGCTGGGGAGGATCGTCCGGCTGCCTCCTCCCCATGCCCGACCCCCGCACTGCCTGCGAACCCCATGCTGACCCCATTCTCTGGAGGGAGGCGAGGGACAGGGAGAGCCCACCTGGTCGCCTGCGCAGGGCCAGCTGACAATGTCTGTGCCCACAGAATTACTACCCCATGGTGCAGTCGGCCTTCATTCAGGATGACTGCAACCGGCTGTTGGTGCTGTCCGATCAGGCACACGGCGTGTCCAGCCAGGACAACGGGCAGGTCGAGGTGGGTCACTGCATGGCCCTGGGCTGCCCGGGTGGGAGGGGCCTTCAGACCTCTGTCCCTCAGGTCACTGCATGGCCCTGGGCTGCCCGGGTGGGAGGGGCCTTCAGACCTCTGTCCCTCAGGTCATGCTGCATCGGCGCCTGCACAACACTAACCACTGGATGCATTCATTCAACCTCACACTGAACGACGACTCGGTGGTCAACCCTGTGTTCTGGCTCCTGCTGGGCCCCCTGCCGCTGACCACAGCCCTGCACCATCAGAGCGGGCTGGCACTGCAGCACAGGCCCGTCATGCTGCTGAGAGAATTGAGGGGTAAGGGGGCACCCACCAATCGTGGTCACCAACCCTGAATGGGCACCTGGCCGGGGACCGTGCATCTGGGAAACCTCGGGGCAGGATCTGAGGCCAGTCCTCTGTCCTCTGTGGGCAGGTGAGGTGCAGAGGGGCTCTGAGGTGGTAAGTGGGGTCCGGACCCCCGGTTCCCCCGTACCCGTGTTCCGAGTCTGCTCCTTTCTCCTGCGATATTTTATCTTGCTCGTACGACCTGTGACCGCGTGGCCCTGTGACTTGAGTCTGGAGTGTGTACCCAGGGAGGGTCACTCTGCCCCCTTCGGACACCTTCAGCGTCTCTCACGAAACCAGGGTGCCCGGAGACAGTGGACGGCGCTTAGAGAAATCCGCATCAAAGGCCGATGGGCAGGACCGCGATTTCTCACCACTCCTGAATCTCTCCCATTTCTATTACATTTTGGTATTTTCCCCCTCTAGCTTCAATCGAGGTGCTGTGATTTACGACGCTGCTGATGACAGTTTAACGCATAGATGGTTCCACTACCACCGGCCACCCAGACCTCTGCTTCCCTTACCCAGGGTCCCCAGCTCCTCCCCTTTGGGCGTCACGTCTTAATTTCTTCTGAATAACCTACCACTGATTGCTTAAAACAGAATAGGTGGGGCCAGAGATGCAGCTCCAGGGTGAGCCGTACCTGCCTGCCACTCACAGTGATCTGGCTGTCCCCTGCCGCGTGGCCCTCGGCAGCTGTGTTCCCGGGAGCTCAGCCCCCCTGTGCCTCACAGGCTGTGCTCTAGGCCTGAGGACTGAGTCATCTCCCCTCCAGCCAAGTCTCAGGACTGGCCCCCAGATCCCTGAGCACAGTTTAGTAGACCCCCCTCCCCAGATAGAAGTTACAATTAAAATATAAGAAAATGAAAGAGATTTTAAATCAAATTCAAAGATATATTTACAAATGTCTTCAGATAACAGTTGCATTTATACTTTTTTTACTTTATTCAAAAAAAAAGGAAAAAATGAAAATCCCTAAAATCTTTATTATTTTTGCCTCTTATCTATGGCTGGAGTGATAGCACAGCGGGTAGGGCGTTCGCCTTACACGCGGCCAACATGGCCGACCCGAGTTCGATTCCTCCGCCCCTCTCGGAGAGCCCGGCAAGCTACCGAGAGTATCTCGCCCGCACGGCAGAGCCTGGCAAGCTCCCCGTGACGTATTCGAAATGCCAAACACAGTAACAACAAAGTCTCCAATGGAGACGTTACTGGGCCCGCTCGAGCAAATCAACGATCAACGGGAGGGCCTTTACCTTTACCTTACCTCTTATCTATCAAGCACACACACCCTCTATCTTTATTAGACTGTATAACTTTTATTTTTTAATTTCTTTTTATTTTTTGCCTTTTGGGTCACACCCAGCGATGCTCAGGGCTTACTCTTGGCTCTGCACTCGGGAATTACTGCCGGCAGTGCTTGGGGGATTGTTGGGATGCCAGGGATTAAACCTGAGTTGGCTGCATGCAAGGCAAATGCCCTGCCTGCTGTGCTATTGCTCCAGCCCCTAACTTTGAAAAATAAGATTTTACAAGTGAAAATCTGAAGTCAACAAACAGAACAGTGAGTGTCTGTATAAAGATGCTCAGAACAAAACATGAAGAGAAACCGTTTTGTCACTGACCGATTCCTTATCTTTAGACCCCTGACCGCTGACCCACATCAACCCCAGTCTAGGTGATTTTAAACGTCAGTACAAAGCTTACCACCCTCTTAATAGCAGTTTCTCTGCAGAATGCCAGCACCACCCCACCGCCAGCGTCCCAGCCCTACTCAGTCCCGTGGCTCAGGTCCCCGCTGTGAGCTGTGGCCCCCGCTGCCCCCTTGCTCTGCGTCTTTAGGTCTCACTGCGACCATCCTGTGTCTGCGTGTGGCTGACCCGCTTGTCTCTGGAGCCCCGCCCTCCCTGCCAAGCACCCGATTTCTCTCTTTCTCTGAGCCTCACGCATATCCACAGTGACCTCTCTGCACCCACCTCCCACAGCTCAAACGGAAACATTGAATATTTACCATTTTAATCCATTTTTTGATTTTTATTCATTGATCTTTTGCTTTTTGGGTCACACCCAGAAAAGCACTCAGGAGTTACTCCTGGCAGTGCTCAGGGGACCATATGGGATGTGGGAATCGAACCCGGGTCGATCGCATGCAAGTCAAACGCCCTACCTGCTGAGCTATCTCTCCAGCCCCTTTGTTTTCTGATCATTCTGTTTGCCATGCCTTTAAGTTCTGTTGGACCAAGTCATTGGAAATAAATTTCTCATATGCCTGCCACGGGGGGGTTGGCTGGGAGGGAGCCTGGGGGAATTGGTGGCAGGGAGTGGGCATCCGTGGTGGGGTTGGCATTGGAATCTGTATGCCGGAAACAACTCTATTATGAACAACTTTGGAAACCCTGTGTCTCAGTAAACACTCCTGAAAAAATATTTGGGGCCATACCTAATGATGCTGAGGGCTGACTCCCGGCTCTGTGCTCGAGGCTGACTCCAGGCTCACTCCCAACTCTGTACTCGGGGATGACTCCCGGCTTTGTGCTCAGGGCTCACTCCTGACTCTGTGCTCGGGGCTAAATCCTGGGATGTGCTCAGGGCTGACTCCCAACTCTGTGCTCGGGGCTGACTCCTGGATCTGTGCTCAGGGCTGAATCCTGGTGTCCAAGCACTGTGCCGTCTCTCTTCTGTCCTTCTGTGCCTTTACAGTCAGGTCCTGCTTCCTGCCCAGCTCGTGTCCCACTCTGGCCCGTGTCTCCCACGGTCTCACTAGCCAATTTCTCCACTCCTGAATCCTTAACCTTCCTTTCACCCCGACGTGCTGCCTCTGCTCTGTCCCTTGGGGACAGGCCTGGGGGGCCAGAAGCCCGCAGTCCCTGTTGGTGTCAGTCTCTCCTGCAGGGCTCAGAGGGGCGCAGCCAGCTACAGAGGCTGTGACTAAAGGAGCTGGTGCCAATTTCTACAGTTTTCACGTGTCACTTTTCTGGAACTCATAACCGTTCCTTCGATATTGCATCACCTTTCGTGCCAGACCCCACGAAGGGCTGCGTATAGAGTCACACTTAAAACACTTAGATCTGATGTCCGCTTATCTCCCCCGTTCTCCCGCCGTCTTGAAGCATCATGGTTACAAACGTTGCTACCGGTACTCCGTATTCCCGCCCCGGCCGACCATCACTGCCACCTTCTCTCCACCACCGCCTCGTCTTCCAGCCCGCCCTGGTGCCCGCCCTGTACAGGCCCAGAGGTGATGCTCCTTGCGAAGTCGTCCAGGACCGCCAAGAGCCGTGCGGGAGCGCGGCAGAGCGGAGCCGCCTCCCCGCCGCGGCCTGAGCACCGGCCTCCCCGCGCCTCTCCGGTGCCCAGTGGCTCTGCCCCTCTCAGCCGCTGCCCCGGCCGGCCCGACCCAACCCCCGCCCTCCCCCGCCCCCTGCAGAGCTCCCGCACCTGCTGGACGCCCACAGGCACCGGCGCGCCGTGACGCTGCCCCCGACCCTCCACCTGCAGCTCCTGAGCATCCCGGGCTGGAACTTCAGCTCCAACCACACCGAGCACCTGCGGAACCTGCAGGAAGGTGGGTGGGGCCGTGCCTCCTCTCACCACAGCCAGGCCACGGGCGCCTGCGCCAGAATGGGGGACCCCGAGCCAGCTGAGGGCACTGGCCTGCTGGCACCGACCTGAGCACCCCCCAGCCCACCCCAGCCTTGCGCCTGCTCCACCCCAGCATCTTCTGGAGACCTGGTGGCCCGGGTCCCCATGCCCTCTGGCCGCATGAGGATCAGTGCCCCAGGTCCTCTGGACCTCTGAGCCCAGGTCCCTTGTCCCAGGCCCCCCGGGGATGAGCAGGACCGAGTCAGGCAGGGGCGCACAGCTCTCCGAGCTCCAGCTGAGTCGCCACCGGCTTCAGATGGAAGCCCACGTGGGCATCAAGGAGGGCTTCCTGGAGGAGGTGATGACAAAACTCCAGCTTCTCCCTCCCTCCCCGTTTCGCCACAAGAGGCACCAAAACGGTTTGGGGGGTGGGGGAGGCTGTCCCAGTAGTTCTTGGGTCCCCAGAGCCTCAGTGGCTTGGGCTGGTCTCGTTCGGAGCTCTCTGCTCACCAGGCACCAGCTCCGTCACCCAGGCAGGAACTCCCTGGGGAGTGGCTCCTTGGCTCAGCTCACTCCTGCTGGTCACACAGAGGCCAGACTCACACGGGGGCAGAGTTCCAGGAAGTCAGGATATTCCTGAACAGCCCAAATGGACCCAGAGGCACTTCAGGGTCAGCGCTGGCCCCGTGTGGCTGGAGGCAGCAAGTCAAAATCAGCTGGGTTTGCACTGAGTCCCTCTGTTGGTCATTAGCTGTGTGTCCTCGGCCACTTTACTGTCCCTCTCTGTGCCTTGGTTTTCTTTCTGTCTGTGGAGCAGATTCAGCAGCCTCCAGGGAGGTGAGGGTAGGAAGTGGAGGTGACTGAGTAGCAGGCGTGACCTGGAGCACTGATGGCGTCTCACCGCCCTTCCCCTCTGCCCTTGAAGGTCGCCAGGCCCAAGTCAAGGCAGACCTCCGCCGCGTCCTGCTGCGGCTCCAGCACCTGTATGAGGTTGGGGAGGACCCGGTGTTGTCTCAGCCAGCGACGGTGAACCTGAAGGTGAGTGCGCCCGCCCACCACGTCCCATTCCTGGGGTACGGCACGGGTGAGAGGGAAAGCCCAGAGTCGGCCCTGACAGAGATAGGGCAGGGCACTCACCAGGAGCACTCTTGGGTGCCTCCCCCTCTCCCTGGTCTCTGGGCTCCCAGGTAGGACCCCAGGTGGGTATTCATTTGCTTCTCATTTATTCTTCCTCTGGGGTCCACACCCAGTGATTCTCAGCGGTCACTCCAGGCTCTGCACTAGCATTGCTCTTGGTGAGCTCGGGAGCTGCGTGGGGCGCCGGGGATCGAGCCTGGCTTGGCTGCGTGCCAGGCGAGCGCCCGCCCCACTGTCTTATCGCTCCAGCCCCTGCTCACGTGTACTTTTGTAGCACATTAAAGAAAGAAAATCTAGCACTTGTTTGACTAGAAAACAAAACGCATCCGTGCAGGATTCAGACTCATAATAAGTCAGAACGTTTTCCGTCCTGTCAAGCTTTTTGGAACAAAATCTAACATTAAGACATCTTTGGCTTGGGGCTGGAGCGATAGCACGGTGGACAGGGCATTTGCCTTGCACATGGCCAACCCGGGTACGATTCCCAGCATCCCATACGGCCCCCCAAGCACCACCAGGAGTAATTTCTGAACAACCACTGAGCATTGACAGGTGTGACCCCAAAATGCAAAAAAAAAAATGAAAAAAAAAGATCTTTGACTTAAGGATATACTCTTGGAGTGTTTTCCAGTTCCGAGGGTTTCTGGTATCAGTAGACACTTCTCTTCGTTTCTCATTTCATTCATAAGACTTTCCTCTGTAATCTCCTTGTCTCCTCTCCTAGAGTCTCATTAAAGTTATTTTCATTTTTATCTTTTTCAATCACTAGCTTTTAATGTTTGTATTGTTTTAAAGCTTTCTTTTCTTTTTTTTCTTGTTTATTCTACGTTTTTTATTTTTTTATTTTTTATGTAGGAATACTGTTATTTATTCATCCACTGATTAGCTGATTGAATTGGGCATAAACTCCACCTTACTTTTTTTTTCATTTTTTAAATAATTTTATTTATTGAATCACCGTGAGAGCAGTTACAAAGCTTTCGGGTTTAAGTCTTGGTCATACAATGAAACACCCGTACCTTCACCAGTGCCCATTCTCCACCACTAAAACCCCCAGTATACCCCCATCCCACACCCTCCCCTTACCTGTGGGGCAGATGATTTCCACATTACTCTTTCTCTATTTTGATTACATTCAATATTTTGACACCAGACCCACCATTATTATTTGGGATTTTACTCCAATACTCAGATCAACTGGAGTGATAGCACAGCGATAGGGCGTTCACCTTACAAGCGGCCAACATGGCCAACCCGAGTTCAATTCCTCCGCCCCTCTCGGAGAGCCCGGCAAGTTACCAAGAGTATTTGATATGCCAAACACAGTAACAACAAAGTCTCCAATGGAGACGTTACTGGGCCTGCTCGAGCAAATCGACGATCAACGGGAGGGCCTTTACCTTTACCTTTACCTTTACTCAGATCAGCTGAAAAGGCAACAGTAGATAATTTGTTTTCTATTGCTGGTTATGAATAACATATGATGTTGCGTGGCTGCAGTAGTGGTCGTGCGATTTTGAAATTCCAAAATTTTAACAATTAAATCTGGAAGGATTTCTGCCAAAACCTGCTGGGTTCCGAGATTTGTTCCTGAGTCTCTTGGATCATGGCCGTTAAGCAGCTTGATCAGGAGCCAGAAAGGCCGTTCGTGGGCGATGACTCAGGGTCTTGTTGGGATGGGGAAGAAAAGGCCACTCCACCCCCATCCCGTGAGACCCAACGTGTCTCGTCACTGTGGGCCCAAACCTGACTGTCCAGTGGCCTCTGGATCATGGCAGCCACCAGGTCACCAGGGGGAACAGGCCAAGGCACGAAACCTATTCCCACGTGGGGTGGCCCAGCACCTTTAACTTACTGCAGGAACTGGATGCATTTCTGCCAAAAGCCGCTGGGTTTCGAGATTTGTTTCTGAGTCTCTGGGATCATGGCCATTAAGCAGTCCTATCAGGAACCAGAGAGGCCATGCCTCCAATTATATAGTTGAGCCGGAGGTGGTTTGTGGGTGTGTCTCCCACATACCTAACTTTTGGCCGTTTACTTTCTTGGTAAACTTTGCCCCAAGCTTTTGGGGTCTGGCCAAAGACAGAGCAGCAATTTGGGGTATCTGGAAGTCTGAAGGCGCCATCAGGCTGCTGATGCACTCGCCTCACAGGTACAGATTGACCTGCTGTAAAGCTCTATTTTCTTTACTTCCTCTTCCTCGTTTTCTCTCATTTGCAGTCCCGCCTTCCTCTTCCTGTTTTCTGGGTTTGCTCATCCTGTTGTGCCCTCCAGGCCAGCTTCTGGGTGAGCCCTTCCTCCTGTCCGGTAGATGTGAAATGCTCTTTCCTTCCTCAGAAGCTGCCACCCTGCCCCAAATGCTCTTTCCTTCCTCAGAACCTGCCACCCTGCCCCGTCGCCCTGCAGTCTCTTCCTGTGCCCTGTCTCCCATTGTTCACCTTGGCTAGGCTGCCCAGGATGGACTCTGCTCCCTCACTGCCATGCGCACACACTCTCTGGTGGCTATGCTGGCTGGGGACTCACGGCTGCAGTGGCGCTGACACTCAGCAGAGTGTCTGGAGTCCTCAGGGTCATTCCTGTCATGGGGGCTGACAGAGGGGCTTACACTCAGGGCACCATGCAAGCCAGGGTCAGCTCTGCCCATGGCCCCACGCCTAGGCTCGGGACAGTTTAATTCTCACCTGTTGGGGCTGGAGCGATAGCACAGCGGGTAGGGCGTTTGCCTTGCACGTGGCCGTTCCGACCAGGGACCAGCATCCCATATGGTCCCTGGAGCATCACCAGGACTAATTCCTGAGTGCATAATCCAGGAGTAACCCCTGTGCATCGCCGGGTGTGACCCCCCCAAAAAATTCTCACCCATCACTTCCTGCTGACAAGTTGCCACTCCTGTTTCCAAGTCTTTGGGATGGGCTGATTTTAACTTTGCAGTTTGATACTCTTGCCGGCAGAAGGTATTTCTGATAGATTTGTATCATTGGAGCTCCATTCTGATTGGTTTTATGTTACACCGGGTCTTTTGTTGTTCTCCGTGCAACCAGAACAGTCTGTATGTGTGTTCACTCACACAGGCTTGTGTGTTTCATTTAATGACAGGCATCTGGGCAGACTGAGCGCTCACCATGACTGTCTGTCCTTGCCTCTTGTTACCTGATTTGCTGGAAGCCACTCTTCCTCTTGGGGGCCGGGTACCCACTCCTCTCTTCCGTCGCCTCCTCCTGGCAGCTCTTCCCCGAGTTTCAGCCACACGCTATCCGCTTGGAAGCAATTGGAGTTGCTGGCACGTGACAGAGTTAGATTATGTTTCGTAACCTCTGAGTCACTCTTTCCCTTAAATTGGTGATTTAAGTTCTATCACATTTTGTGTTGTGACTTTTGACATTTAATCCTTGTTGACTATTTTCTGTACATGCTTATGATTCCATTGTTGCTCCATTTTTATTTGTCACTTGAGTGGTTTTCCATGGTGATTATCTCAGGTTTTCTGCCGTGTGTCTGCTCCAAGACTTAGTTTTTTACATGCCACATGACTGGTGTATGAAACTTACCATGTGTAGGAGAGTCATGTTTGTGTTGGATTATCTTGTCACTATTCTTCTGAATGGATTGAGTCCTTCATTGCCTCTGTTAAGTTTTCTCAGGTGTTTTATCTTTTAAGCTGTTAGGGTAAGTTACCTTCTGTTTCAACTATCTCTTCATGCAATAGAAACTACACTTATTTGTCTGATTTGATAGTAATATTATGTAATCTGTGAAATTATCCTTTTTTTCCCAATCAATTCAATCTGTTGCTTCTTACTCCTTCATTTCCTTTCTGAGTTCATTGATTTAATTTTCCCTGTTTTCTTATAGTTGGTCCTCGTTGTTAGTCGATAATTATTTTTGATGATCTTTCCATTAGATCCATAATTCTGTGCCTTTGATTTCCGGAAATATCACTTCCAATCTGACTCTCCATGTTGCTGTGACTTTGAACTTGTTTGGTGACTGCCGTTTCTGCCTGTGCCTGGGTCTCCTCGTGGCCGGGCTGCTCTCTAAATCTCCAGTGGGTGGCTCCATCTGGGGGGTTTGAGTTTCCTTTGATCTATGTCGGGGTCTGAAGCAGGGAGAGGAGCATGGAGGGGAGAGGGGTCCCAGCTTTCATCGTGGGGGTCTCCAGGCTCAGTCACTCTGCTGCCCCCTCCCTGCCTGAGCCTACGTGGATCCTGCTCTGGGCAGCCTTATTTAGGAAGTCCTGCCTCAGGGGGCAGGTCTGCGTGGCCCCTGTCCACCACATGGATTGTGGGGATGTCCTCCTGGCAGGGGAAGGGGCGCTTTGCACCACCCACCCCATGGGCCCCTTTGTACTTCACCTGTGGGTCATGCCTCCTGGACTCTCCCTCACTGCCTGGGTGGGGGAGGGGGATCTCCCATCCCCGGGGATGGGTGAGTAGTCTCCCCCGAGTCGCTCCCGCTGCGGCCGCCTGGGAAGCACCTGTGGGCCCTTGTTTAAGGAGACCCGGGAAGGAGATGTTTGACCCACCACAGTGCTAAGGCCCCCCACACGTATTGTCACAGACACCATCGATGTGTCAGGAGGTCAGATTTGCGCCAACAGTTCGCTGAGCCGCTCAGTGGCGCTGGGGGCGCGGTTCCGGGTCTGGCCCAGGCCTGGAGGGGCCCACGGGAGCCTCTGCTGCCTGCACGAGAGGGGCGGGCATTCCTGCAGAGAGGCGGGGAGGCCCTGGAAAATGAAGCCACCGAGGCCTGGCCGGGCTCAGGGCGCCCCCGTCTCTGCCCGCAGGTCCTGCTGCGAGGGCTGGGCACGGTGCAGACGGTGGAGGAGCGCTCCCTCACGGGCACCTGGGCCGCGGGCTCCCTGCAGCGCTGGAGGTGGAAGCTGCAGGACACACACCGGGAGAGAGGTTTGGAAGCCCCCTTGGAGCTGTGCAGACCCCCGCCCCCTGGGCCCGGGGACCTTGGCGGCTGATGGCCTTGCCTGGGGCCGGGCTCTGTGTCCCCCACAGCAGGAAAGGCTCCGGGCTCACCACCACCCATCCAGCCCTTAGGGGCAGTGTGGGGGGCTGCTGGCCACTCACCTCCCTGCCCCAGGTCAGCCCAGGGGCCCTGGTACCCGGGGGCCTTCCCCTGCCCACCCTGTCCCCCGGGCACTCCCCAGAGGGTTCCCAGCCTGGAGATGCTCCCTCTGCCTGCACTTTCTGGAAACTTCTACTCAGACTTCCGCCCACCCCAGGCTGTGTCTGCCCCGTGTGCTATGTGTGCTCTGTGCCTGCATCTCCTCTTGTCCACTGCACAAAGCACAGTTTCAGACACGGTGGACACTGTCGTTTCGAGGGATAGTTCCCGTGATTGCTGACGACGGTGGCTGGGCGGAAGTGGGGTGTCTCAGGGTGTGTGTTCAAGCGGGCGGGTGCAGAGACAGACAGTGACTCGGGAATCAAGCGCAGGCGTGACTGTGGGGGGAGCATGGGTGGGCTGCTGGAGCAACAGGCCCCCTCCCATGGGTGGGGGACCCCACGGAGTGAGCTAAAGGGGGCTGCAGATGTCACAGAGAAGGGGCTCAGGTCGTCAGGACCGTGCGAGGGTGCAGGTGCCCTCCTGTGCCACCTCCACTGGAGCTTGGGCCCGACCTGAGAGCAGGCGGAGGGCCACACGGCCGTGCTGGCAGGAGTCCTTGGGGGGCTCTGCGAGGGGCGAGGGGCACTGAGGGGACAGTGCTGGACAGTACACTCTCCCCCAGACAACTCCAGGGCCCTCTTGCAGCCAGCCGGAGACTTCGAGTTCACCATCTACCCCAAGGAAATCCGAACCTTCTTTGTCCACTTCCAGAGGGAATGAGCCTGTGGACGCTCCTCTTGCCTTGGGCTGTCTTGGGACCGGGACAGGGGGACAAGGGCACAGAGAAGCGCCCACCTGTCGGGCCAGGGCGGGACAGTTGTGGAGGCTTCTGAATAAAACTGCATGAGAAGTTCCTGCGCCCCGTGTCCTCCCATTCCCCTGTCCCTTGGGACCAGGCTAGGCTAGGTCACCTCAGGACCAAAGGTGTTGCCCATGGGACAGAGACTGCCTGTGCCCTGCAGCCCCCATGGATCTCCGTGGGTTCACTGTGACCCTACTGTGTGCTGTGACATCTCAGGTCACCTCTGGTGGGTGTCCAACCTGCAGGGGTCTCCGCTGTGACCCAGGAAGTGAGGAGACCCGGCTAGAGAGCAGTGGGAGCAGGCTGGGGGCCATCCCGTAGGGGCCTGTCCACCCTGGGGAGCCGGCCAGGACTGGGCCGCTCAGCCTTGCCCCGTGCTCTGGGGTGGAGGCGCAGGGTCACCATGAGCCTAAACAGACAAGACAAGGTTCATCTGCACCAAGTCAGGCTCTCAGCCGCCCCCCCCCCCACCCCGTGTTACAGACCCTCCAGGCGGCCCCGGGTCTGCAGATCAGAGCCTGCCCCAGGGCCAGGTGGGTCCAGCCCCTGGGGTCCCTGGAATCCTGCAGGGCAGCTGCAGAGGGAGACCATGCAGGGCACTGACCTCTGCAGAGCAGCCGTGGGCGGCGCTGATGCTGGCACGGCCCTGTGGCCCTCTGCGGTCAGACTCAGCCAAGCCATCAGGTTTTTAGACCCAGGAGAGTGTGGGATAAATTATTCAGGGATCCAGAGTGCCACCCTGGGGCGGGAGGGGTCTGCTCTGACGGCCGCCAAGGTAATGGGGCAGGGGTGTGGGGGGGACCGAATAGATTTCTGCAGCAGACCCTGGGGAGGGGCAGCCAATGATGATGGACAGCTCAGGTGCCATGGCGACACTTGTGATGGCCAGAGCTAAACTGGGGGCCGGTGGTCTGGGAACCCCCGAGCAGAGCAGCCCAGGGCACCCCCAGGACCCTCCTGGGCTCATGGGAGCAGCACCTTTAAGTGTCCTGGAGCTCCAACCGGACCTTTGGTGTCTCAGCTCCCAGCACAGCCAGACTCAAGAAAAAGATTCCTCCTCCTCGGGGAGGAGGTTCAGTGCCTGCCCATTTCACAGATTAGGAAGCTGAGCTAGGTGACCTGGGTTCTACATGATCACACCACACTTCCCCTTGGCCACGGTCAGCTCCGGTCATGGATCCAACTCAGGGCAGACATGAACCCAGGTCTGGGCCTACCCCCACAAGGACCTCCGTGCAGATGGGGCTGAGGCCTCTTTGCCTTTCTGGCCAGGAGCTCAGCACAGGGAGGTTAGACACAACTTGACTAATTTGGAGGGCTCGAGGGCCACAATCACTTGTCTCCAGAGTAACTGGGGAGTAAATCTGGGACTGGAGGCTGGATCTGAGGCGGTCTCCATGAGGGGGTGTCCTGGCGGAGAAGCCAGGAGGGGGGCAGCCAGTTTCTGCAGGTAAGAACTCTCACGGTTATGGAGCGTCTCGGTATTGGAGCAGGAGGCCAAGGAAGATCAGCAGATTCCACCTTGAGGCCCCTGGCTATGAATATGAGGGGCCTCTGCCAACAGAGCGGGCCTGCCACGGTGACAGGGCAGCACATGCCAGCGAGACGCCCAGCCGAACTTCTGGCCCCCAAACCCTCCCTCCCAGCCCCTCTCACCTACCAGGCGCTTCCTCTCACATCTACACCTCCCCATGACCCCATCCTTCCAGACTCCCAGCTGCTCTCCCTCCCCTCCTCTCTCCCTCCCTCTCTCCCTCCGTCTCCCCTTCCTTCTTTCCTTCCTTCCTTCCTTCTGTCCCTCTGTCCTTCTTTCCCTTCCTTCCTCCCTCCCCTCCCTCCCTCCATTTCCCTCCCTCTACCTCCATCCCTCCTCCCTTCCCTCCCTCCCTCTGTCCCTCTGCTCCTCTTTCCCTTCCTCCCTCCCATCCCCTGTCCCTCTCTCCATTTTCTTCCTCCATTTCTCCCTCACACCCTTCTTTCTTCCCTTCCTTTCTTACGTCCTCTCTCTTCCACCCCTTCCTTCCCCGTCTCTTATTTTCTTGCTTTCCTTTTACCTTCCTTTCTTCCTTCCTCACGTCCTTCCTCTATCCATCCCTACCTACCTTCCTTCTTTCCTTCCTTCCTCTCTTCCCTCCATCCTTTCTCTGCCATCCCTCTTCCCTCTCTCCCTTCCTCCTTTCCTTGTTTCTTCCTTACTTCCTTCTTTCCTCCACCTCTCGCTTTCTTCGTTTCTCCCTCCAATCCCTTTTCCTTCTTCCTTTCTCCTTTCCTTCCTTCCTTTCTTCCTTCCATGCACCTATTCTTTATTTCATTCCATAATATTTATTTTGTCCCTTCACTTGCCAGAATCTGTGTTTGTTCCTGGAGATTCATTTATAGCGTTAAATGACAAGTGATTGAGAAAAAAATTCAAATTTTCTAAAGACGATGCAGTGTGATAGCTGGAATTGCCTGGTTGTGCGTCCTTTCCCCATGGCCAACCTCCCCCTGTGCCTCTTCAGTGTGTCTTTCCTGCGATGCCAGTTTCCATTCACTCAATGGCTCAGACAGCCCCTTTCCCACTCCCCCCCGCCCCGGTTTGGAGCAAGCTGCTCTGTTGTGACATGCGTCCCACGGGCACCCTTCACGGCCACTCTGCGCTCCTACGGACCCCGCCTGCACCCCTTGTGCGTCCTCATCCCACCGCCTCTCTCCACACACACACAAAGGTAATGCCTCTCCACTCTCATGGCGCCCCTTCAAGCTCGGAACAGTCTGAGATGCGCTCGGTGGCCGAGAGCCCCCACAGCCGCCCGGGATCTGCAAAGAATCCAGAACATCACATCTCGCCCTCGCGGGTCGCTTCACTGCAGCCGCACTGGGCCCACCTGCTGCTGTAGTTCAGCACCGCGGACAGCGGTTGCCACGCAGGGCGCGCTCTGGCGGTCAGGGGAGGAGGTGCAGGAAGTGCGAACCCGCCCGGGTCCTGGCAAAGGGTCTGGAGGACCCCCAGTGGGAAGAGGCGGGAAGAAGACAGCCGGGCAGAGGGGACTCTCAAGGTTCCTCCACGGGTTCCTGCCACTCGCTAAGCCTGGGGGACGGGGGGCTCGGACCGCAAGTGATGAAATATTGGCTCAGGCCCAGGCCCGCAGCCTCAGCACCTGGCCAAAGCTGGGTCTGGAGGGAGTGAAGCGGGAGGGGTGCCCGGACAGACAGCCTCGGACGGGCCAAAGTCAACGGCCTCGTTTTCCTCTGTTGCCCTATGTAGTGTCTCAAGCTGTGGGTCCAGGTTATTTACTTGACTGAGGTGGGAGCGGATGGGGTGGCAAACTCCGGCCTCGGTGCTCAGGAATCACTCCGGGTTTGGCCTGAGGGACCACGAAGGGTGCTGGGGATCCAACCTGCATCAGCCGCCCACGAGGCATGTGCCCGACCCGCTGTGCTACTGCTATTTATTCGAGATGTTTCCTGTTTCCTCATGTGGCCCTGTTTGGCCATGAACTTTGTCTGAGCACTGCTTTCTGCCAAATTCCACCGGTTCTGACAGTCTGTGTCTTCCGGTTCACATGTTTCGTAGGGATTTTCTTCTTCCTTTCATTTATTGACCCATTGGTTATTTAGCAGTGTTTCGTTCAGATTCAAAATATCAACATGGGGGCTGGAGCAATGGCACAGTGGGTAGGGCGTTTGCCTTGCATGCAGCCAACATGGCTGACACAGGTTCGATTCCCAGCATCCCATATAGTCCGCCGAGCACCGTCAGGAGCGGTTCCTGAGTGCATGAGCCAGGAGTGACCCCTGAGCATCACCGGATGTGACCCAAAGAGCAAAAATAAAATAAAATAAAATAAAATTACATTGTGTTATTAACAAAAAAAAATCAACGTGTTCCCCAAGTTCATTTTTACTCGAGCAGCATTGTGGTCTGAAAATATCCATAGCACGAACGCTGTCATCATCACCTGGCAAACACTGTGTGCCCCTGTGTGTCTGTCCTTGTGAGCACTCACAAGGAAGTGAATGCAGCTTTGGGGGTGGTGGTCCTGGGCGTCTGTCCACCTGCTTCTCCTAGGCCTTCACCCAGGGCTCTTGCTTCTTGGTTGGTGACCTGCTTCCCGCATCTGGCCCCGGGGTGGGGGGAGGTCTCCCGCTGACACTGTTGTCCTATAACCTATAACCGTGCAGCACTTGCCTCGGTGCACGTTGGTATCGGTGAGTTAAGCTCCCTTCCTGAGCGCTCTCCCAACAGGCACGCCATGTCCTCCCAGTTGTGGGTGACTTTGTTTCGCTGAATGTTTGATCAATGCCAGCGAGGCTCTCTCTGCCTTTGGCTGTTCTCAAGTGTGTTCTCTGATGATAACTCAAGTGTACAGGCAAAGTCCAAGAGTATCACTGTACTTCGGATTGATTATTGAATCAGCAAGAACATCAAAAGAAAATGGTTTTAAAAATACCTGAGGACCAAAGTCCGGGCTCTGTGGGCGAGTGTCTGCCTGGCTGGCCTGACGTCCTGAGTTTAGCCCCCAACCACCCCCACATGGCGAGTGTGACCCAGGATCCTCAGCGCACAGCTGATGACTGGACTCCAGTGCTGAATAAAGTCAGTGGGAGCCAAGAGTGTGTGGGCGCTGTGCCTGAGGTGACCCTAGCCAGCACTGTGGCTGGAGGGTGTGAGTTAGAGATGGTGTGGGAGCACTGTGAGCTAAAGAGTGAGCATGGGAGCACTGTAAGCTGCAGAGTGAGCGTGGGAGCACTGTGTGCTAGAGGGTGAATGTGGCAGCACTGTGAGCTAGAGAATAAGCACAGCCACCAAGTGTGCAGTTCCCGGCAGCTCGCTGTGGGGTCCGCACCGGCCTGTCCTCCAGGACCACATCCCTGGTGAGTCTGTCCTTCTCTGCCTTAGTGAGGGCAGCACTGAGCCAGCTCTGCTGAAAGGCCTGGGGGGTCCAGGCGGTTGTTTTT